ATAAATACATATGCGAGCGGTGTTAGAAGTATATATTTATACATATGTTATATGTATATTATATACACTGCAGCAGTTCGTTTCCATAATCATCACACAACCGCCCTCGCATGTTGCAGCATAGGTACTATAACTCACCGCCAGTCTTAAGCAGTTATTATTAATTCGTTATATACTACAACTGTTATTGTTCGACACATATTATGCGTTATTTTAAAAACGATTTCGACGTTTGATTATTTGGATGTCTTATTTGCTAAGCTATATCATATATTTATTAAATCAAATGCTAAAAATTGCATACCCATCGTATGTAAGGATCTAAATTTAATTTGTGGATTTTTATCGTTTTCCAGGTGTGGTTCCAAAACCGGAGGACTAAGTGGCGGAAAAAGCACGCGGCCGAGATGGCCACGGCCAAGAGGAAGCAAGAAGAGGCGGCCGACGAGAGCGACGAAGACGAAGACATGCGTGACGATAGTGCGGCCAAACGGCTCAAAAGGGAATTGGCTGCTCACTATGGAGGCGGTGGTGGAGGTGGAGGTGGTGGTGGCATCGGTGGAAGTATATAGCATCAGGCTTGGCCAGGCGTCGGTCACCCTGGCACCTTGGACCTGAAGACTCACGAATAAACCCGTTGAGTTCCGAGTACTTGTAGGTACATCGATAACCCACGCACGCTGTACAATTCCAATGATAATGATGATGATGATAAATATTATTATTATCATTATTTGTACATTTCTATAAACTTATAAGTACTACACAAATATTTTATACATAACTATATTATTATTATTATTATATTACATAATACATAAGATTTATGCCTATCCAAAACGTCTAGTCATCGCATAATTTTTTTTAGGTATTTGTGCATATTATTATTGTTATTATATAAAAATTTAGAGAGCAATATAATTACGGTATAGGTATTATATAATATTATAATATTAAGTACATAGCGCCGTGTCGCATGTACACTCTACACCGGTCCTCATCACATAATATTACAGTCGAGTCGCGATAATTTGAAGTTGAAGGTGAATAAAAATTTGCGTTACATTATTCGGGATATTATTCGATATACCTATAACTTGAATTCATCTAAATTAAGTTATTGGAGAATAAAAAAAAATTTCAAGTTGTCAAGTTTTTCAAGTTATCTAGGTTCGAATTATCGCGACTCGGCTATATAATATAATATGTAAATGTGTATATCTGGCATTATGTACAGGGAGTATCGTGGTGGATGGACAGTTTTACATTTTTATTGATTCGTCAAATCTTCGCCATACATTCTGTATATAATATAAGCATATACGACGTATAGTGCACGGTGTGTGCGTTATTTTGTTCTTTTTGTTTATATTCTATGTATCCCCCCCCCTATACCCTTTCACCACATTGTATAGTGTTGCCCGCCCAAGCGTATACAACGCTTCGACGACGACGACGACGATCATTATTATTATTATTATTATTATTATTATTATTATCATTATCATTATTATCATCTCAATAATTCATTTAATATAATATTATAATATCCTTTATTAGCTTTTTTTGTGCGCCGATCATTATACAATATTAGATATTATGATACAACACTTACTTGATAATATTTGTATATGTTATTATAATGTATACCATACAAGTATGTATTATGTATATATACAAAATACTAAAATAGGTAAATATACGTTTTTACGGTTTTGTTTACGGCTTGTAATGTCTGTTGTACAATAATATGTCGGGAGTAAACGGTTTTAATATAATATAATAATTAAGTTGTAATTACAATGTGAATATACTACGATATTATATCCCCTTTGAATACTACGTTGTACATATTATATTTGATTATTGTTAATAATATTATTTATTTAGCGAAGGTACGTTTGGATAATCGTTTGCACTTATAACACACATGTACGGTTATACTTATAATTTACCACTAAACCTTAAGTTAAACAAATCATGTAATCTTTAAACAAAAATAAGTGAAATGTTGATTTAAAAAGACATAATATTATTATATACATCGATGCGTTATTTATTTATTTTTATTGCCTATTAAAGATTTGAATGCGATATTATAACAATACCGCCAATATCTATGTATAATCATCTTGTTTTTTCTTTTTAGTTAATGGAACTCTATGGTATAGGTACAGAAAAATAATTTACGATGAGTTTATTTGCTACTTATTTTCAAGTATAAATCAGAACGGAAAAAAAAATTTTAATTTCAAAGCATAAAACATGATCTACATACGTGATTCAATAAATATTTTGTAAAAGCATAAAACGCATTTATATGTATGTAATAGGATGCAGACATGTGGCGTATCGAATATAATCAAAATCGTAAACAATAGTAAACCAATTTGTTGACAAAAACTACAAGTAATTCAAAATATTTATTTAAAACTGTTCATCACGACTATGACGAGTGGCGTACTGCAGAAGAGTTTTACGATTTGGTTTACAATAAGTAGGTATGTATAATAGAYGCGACTAAACCGTAATTTAATTTGTTCACGAAAACTATATGATAAATGATAATAGGTACAATAATAACGGTCATTACTGAATATTGTCAAAAGTCAATACTTCAACATGACATCAACTTCCTTAGCATATATAGAATAAACATCAATATAATAAAATAAGTATTATTTACTTGATAAAAAACTTAGATTTTCAAGTCAATCACAATATTATTTAATGTTATATTTTTTCGTAGCATATTTACGCAGGTAATATAATACATTTATAACGAACTCTACATTTAGTCAACGCTATTTAATGACACCGCCAACCGTCGTAATAATACACAACACACCAACAATCGCCTCTCTACAGCGGCGTAACCGACTAAAATGTAAAACAAGTTTTTATATTAACGTAAGTAAACTAAGTTGGGTACTAAATAAAAAAAATACTGAAGTTTTTCTAAACAACCAATAGGGATTTCATAAACTGCAGTTATATCCAATCCGCAATAAYCGAAAATACGAGTAAATCGATTCATAGGACTTTGTAGCTTTTCAATACGATAGTATAATAACGATGTGGATTTTTATTTATCTATTTTTAACTCAAATCATAGATTCAATCATTTATAGCTTACAAGTTTTAAAGAATTTATTCGCCTCTAAATGTATTACATATATTATATTATAAAAGCTAAAATAGATAATAATTGTATTATCATTCATTTTTTTTTTACAAAATATGATAAAATAACTACTATCTTCAAAATAGAGGAATTATCTTAACAGTTAACAATGAATAAAAATTGTAATTTTGAATTATATTATTAAAAACTAAATGTTTTTATTATAGATTATAATAGGTTCGATAAGTGTAAATATGGCCAAGTTTAAGATTCTCAAGGTAAAATTTACTCTGTGCTTGAAAAGTAGGCATATTGTCGTATTGATATATATGTCGTAGGCATATAGTCAAATCAGGCATTCTATTAAATTCCTAGGCATATAGTCAAAGAATTTAATGTTAATGCAATTTCACTATCCGCCTAGGCATTTAGTTAAATGCTCGTCATTTAATTAAATGACTAGGCATTTGACTAAATGCCTATTTCATGCCAGGCAATACAATTAATAAAAAAACATTTTGTATTATTTTAAAAATTTAAATATATTTTCTATCAGTTATTTATTGCTATTTTATATATAAAAAAGCTGTATATTATTTATTAATATGAAAAACACTTAGGTATATGAAATAATATGTTTAATTTTGTGTTAATTATTATTTAGTATTGTTTTAAAAATGAAATCATAAATATATTCAGGTAATAAATAATTAGATGTGATAGACATAAATTATAGTACGAGTATATTGTATAGCCTATATAGTCAGTATAGTCTATAGTATGAGTGAGTACCTACTATTTATTCTTATTAAATAAAAATAAAAGTTCCATTGGTTTTTACCTAGGAAAATTAACGTAGGTACTAGATTGTATGAGAACCTTATCTATATTGAGTACCGTGGGACAAATTATAATCTTATCGATTATAACGACACAAATATGGCGTTATGGAAAAATTTGAATTGTATAATAATTTAGTTTATTACGTTTAAATAAATAACTGATAGAAAATATATTTAAATTTTTAAAATAATACAAAATGTTTTTTTATTATTTGCCTGGCATGAAATAGGCATTTAACTACTCGTAAATGTCTAGGYGGATAGTGAAATTGCATAAACATTAAATTCTTTGACTATATGCCTACGACATATACTTAAATGGATATAGGTAATTAAATATTATCAATTTATTTTCATACTTACGATAACTGATCGGTTTCATGTTTAATACGTATAAATATACCAAAAACTAAACGATTTTGAAATCTTAAAACTCAAAATGTTTTCAATAAATAAAAAAATATGTTCCGTGCACTCAATTATACTTTAATTTTACCTTATAAACTACAATTTTCTAAACTTTTAATAAAATATACCCATTAGAACTACAAATATAGCAATAATAAACGTTTATGTATTTTATAAWAATATTATATATGAAATCTGTGATGAAAAGTACTTTTGTTCACTACGATAATTWAATTAATTTATTGGCATATTTTTACGTTCCTCGAGCATTATCTATTTCAAGAAATTAATTTATTATTTGTAAAACGATTTGTATTTTGTGCAATCGCCAATCCATAAGTACGAACTTAAAAAATATTTTTTTATTTAGGTATTTTCGCATAAATATATACTCATACATTACACTATATAAAAACAATTTATACATAAAATAAATTATTTATAATCTTGTATGATTATCTTTAATATTAGATAGAATTTATAACTTTCATCAAATTTAAAGCCAAAACATTATYTGTGTTTGTACATTTTATGGCTGCTTCAAGGAAATCATTCAATTTTTTGAAGTTATAAAAGCATTTTAAAACTGCAATATTGTTTCATACTCATAACTTACATAAAAAATGAACACGTCTCTGCAACGCATCAAACGCAAAAACACAGTTATTGATCTTAACTTTATTTAYGATGATAGCTCAATTCATTCTAATAATAAAAACCTAAAAACACAAAATAAGTTCTTCTAAATGCAAGTATTATTGCTACGTTGCACGTGATGGGTCAGAGTTGGAAAACAAAAAGTGTGCCGCTGACATTCTATGTGCAGATATTTTAATATGCATTCAGATGAAGTGAGTACATTTATCTTATTTAAGATTTTAATGCGTCTGCAATCAACCTCCATGTGACGTTGGATGTTAATATGATTGTGTTATTGGGGTTAACTTTTGGAGTTTTTAAGTCCTATATGCGAATAATAAATTAATATTCATATTTATGTACAGCAGTAGCTAGAAAACTAGTACCGCCTTTATCGGCGTAGCATATATATATAGCTCTATTTATACTATAGGTAATGATGTATTGGAAATTACAATAATAAAGCGCAACTTTAATTTATAAGAAATGTAATACTTGTGTAAACTATAGAGAAACTCGTATAAATTGTTTATTCAAGACTATATATCGTATATCCCATTCAGYACAATATTGTACGCTATTTTTTGAGGTCACCGCCGCCGCCGTGACATCGCCATATTATTATAACGATTCAGGATACAGTTTGTCGTTTGTATTTGTTGTCGTTGAAGATGATGATATCGACTTTCGCTTATATATATATATATATATATATATTTTTAGGTCTTTGTTGGCTAGTGTTTTGTTATATGTGGAAACAGATTTCTCAATTGAATAAGAGAAAGGGCAGTGTAGTAGGGTTCGTTGAGGGGAGGGATAAAGGTACATTTGGTCGAAAAACTGTCCATTTCATAAGTCGACAGTAGCCATGGTAACGGTCCGCACAGATTCTTATCGAATCAATTTCGGAATTCAAAAGGACTTACACCCTCACCTCCACCCGACCATTGATGCTCGGACACACGCGCGCGCCATTTATACCCTTGTAATACACCGTGCAACATTTTTATTCGCCGCTTTTTACCCCTTGGCACATATATATATATATATATATATGTATAAAAATATCCGCACAAGTACAAACTCCCAGTCCTCACGCAAAGTATTATTTTTATAGATTTATATTTATTTTTATATGATCGATCGTTTACACCGTGTAGTTTTATCAAAAGCTCTGAAAAAAAAACCGGAATCTATATTTTCTACTCTTTACAACAAAAACGAGTTGATTCTAGACGGATAAAAAAAACCATCGACTGTTCATTTTACATTTAATTGGTTAAAATAAATAATTATTGTGCCATACAGGTAAGTACGTGAAATTATACATATACACACATATATATAATATTATAATATGTGTGCTGCAAGACTTTTCATTTAGTCGTCATTGCCATCATACGTTTATTTTTATTCTATAAACTTTGCATTCCATATACGCAGAGTTTACTAATTATATATACATATGATTAATTTAGGTCGTTTGTATATACAACAAAACCCT